CTGTAACAAGTGCTCTTCACTGCTGAGCCAACTCTCCAGCTCCTTTTGCTTTTGGAGATTGGGTCTCTCCATGCACTCCAGACTGGCCTTGAACTCACACTGCCAGGCAACCCTCCTGCCTCAACCTTCCTGAATGTTCTGATTACAAGTGTGAGCTACACTGCCTTAAAACATCAATTCCTTTTCTTTTTCCTCCTCTCTTTCCCTCCCTCCCTCCCTCTCTCTATCCTTTCTCTCCTTTCTTCTCCCTTTCTGTTCCTCCCTCCTCCCCTTCTCTCCTACTCTCCTCATTTTTTCCCTCAAGCTCTCTTCCATTGGCTATATCCCCATCCCCTAACTTGAGCCTTTAAGCTTTTAGAAATCAATTTTAAGGGAATTCTCAAAGGAGACAAAAATGTACATGAAATCATCAATGACAACACAAACTAGAGTAAAAAATAATCAAAATAGAGCAAATAGCTTTAAAAAATCACAATATATTACCTGGCAGTTGTGGCACATGCCTTTAATTCTAGCACTTGGGAGGCAGAGGCAGCTGGATCTCTGAGTTTGAGGCCAACCTGGTTTACAGAGTGAGTTCCGTCCAGGACAGCCAGGCTACACAGAGAAACTCTGTCTTGAAAAAACCAAACAAAACCCAACCCAACCAAACCAAACCAAAACCAAAACAAACAAACAAATAATCAAAACAAAACTGCCACCAAAACCCAATGTTCAGTTATAGAATACGATATAGATCTTAAAAATCTGGATTTTTAGGGATTTTTCAGTGGGATGTGTTAACTTGATATTTATCAAGGCGATGTGAAAATAGAAGGAAGTGGAGAGCAATCTCTACATGAGCAGAATTGTTCTTTAATCAGAACAACTGATTCCACATCGTGTCAACCAATCCTGATCTAACATGATGGGAAATGCTTTTGGATCTGGAATTTGATTTCAACTGATCTGCAAACTAATAGCCTCTAACTATACCATGGCGATGTAAGACTCTCAGTTAGAAACAAAATACTTTACTATCTGTGGCCCAGCGAAGGTCCATCAGATTACTTTTAGGGATTTTTTTGACCCTCAAGTCCCATGAGGGTCATATACTATGGAACAGATGACTGCTATGTATGCAGTGGGCTTGAATGACTCCCCATATTTTGTGTGTGTACATATATATATATATAATATACATTATATACAATTAATATATATATGTTACATGAACATATGTAACTGTAAAGATCTAAAGTTTGCACTAAGAAGTATGAACTTAATTTATGTAGTATTAGGGATTGCTCATAATTTTGATAAAAATGATACTGCAGAAATATGGATTCACAGTAGATGGAAAGGATTTGAAACTCTAAGTAGCTCAACCCAATAGAACCTTCTTTGACAACAGAAATGCTCTACATCTTGAGTGTTTAACACTATAACTCTAAATGAGAGCAATTCCAAATAGCAGTATTACTAAATGACATCAGGACAAAGGCAGAAATTCATAAGTTGTGCATTTATTCATCCATTCAAAAATAGGGATGTTTACTCTATGCAGGTACTGGGCTAGATATGGGAGATATGGGAACAAAAAACTGTAACTCTTACTACAAAGTTTATATGCTAACGGAAGGAGTCACCCAGTGAATGAACAGGTGAAAACATGGTATATGAGATGTTGTCAAGAAAGGACTGAGGAGTGAATTGTAAGGCAAAGGAGTGGAAATTCAGTATTAATTCTTAAAAACAAACAAACAAAAAACAAAAAAAGAGCAGACAAAACTACGTAAAGTGCCCTATAATCTGAGAAGGAATACGCGGTGTGAACATTTTTGTGAGGAAGTAAGGGTCAAGATATTGATGATACAGAATGGGCTGGCAAAGCTGTGGTGGTTTGAATAAGAAGGACCCCCAGAGGGTCATAGATTTGAATGCTTAGTCCCCAAGGAGTGGCACCATTTGAAAGGTTTGGAAGGACTGGGAGGTGTGACTTGTTGGAGGAAGTGTGCCACCAGGGGTGGGCTTTGAGGTTTCAGAAGCCCATGCCAGGCCCAGGCTCTCCGCTCTCAGCTACTGCCCCAGTGCCTGCCTGCATGCTGCCATGCTCCCCGCCCCATGACAATGGACTGATCCTCTGAAACTGTAGGCCAGCCCCCAGTTAAACGCTTTCTTTTATAAGAGTTGCCTTAGTCATGGTGTCTCTTCACAGCAGTAGAACAGTGACTGAGACAAAAGCAAAAGCTTATTTTCCCAAATTTTTTCTTACTTGGCTGGGCGGTGGAGGCACACGCCTTTAATCCCAGCACTCAGGAAGCAGAGGCAGGCGGATCTCTGTGAGTTCGTGGCCAACCTGGGCTACAAAGTGAGTTCCAGGAAAGGTGCAAAGCTACACAGAGAAACCCTGTCTCGAAAAACCCCAAGGGAAAAAATTTACTTTTGAATAGTAACACCATGAAGTAACGTTGGCAACACCATGAAGGAAGCAAATGAGATAAACGGCCAAGGACTGAAGACATAACCCAGACCTCAAAAAGATGTAGAGATTTACATGAGATGATGAGACCTGGGGAGAAAGGAAAAGATTAGTAAAGGAAACTTGAAGAGGAGGTATAGGGTAAGCGGCTAAAAGGGTGAGAGACTCCTGGTGTTGAAGAAGAAATTTCCCCAGCTCTGTGCAAACTCACAGGCATATACTCCAAAATATCAGAAGCATCCACAGTCACAAGCCTAGTAATTATATTTGGAAGTGTTTGTACAGGTAAAGAATTCATGATGACAGATGGCGTGATTGTAGGTGCTTTTTACTATCTCAACCCTGGGAGAGAGAAATAAACACACCAAGTATTACTATTCAGCTCCTAAATTTACAAAGATCGTTTTTTTCCTTTCTTTTTAAAATTTTTATTAATTTATTTTTACATTATTTTATTTTGTGTGTATGAATGTTTTACCTGCATGCATGTCTGTGCACCACATGCATGCCTGGTGCCTGAGGAAGGGGTGAGCCTCCACGTGGGTGCTAGAAATCGAACCTGGGTCCTTTGCAAGAACAACAAGTGCTCCTAACCACTGAGCCAACTCTCCAACCCTACAAATGTCATTTTTTAGAACTGGCTTGATTGAAGTTTTGATCACAGAAAGAAAACAAGGTTGCTAGAAGAAATCCATGACCGACTACAATTGTCTTCCAACATAAAATGCGTACCTAATAGGAACATGATCAAGATTAGAGAGTTGGTCAGGCTTTGCTCAAGAATTCTTCCCAGAAAGCAAATGCTTATTTACATAGAGACCTCCTTAAAGGACAGAACAGCATATGACGACCTGAAGCAGTCTTCAGCCTGAGTTAATAAAGCAAGTGCTCATTGCTCACAAACATGAGATGCCCTCCCAGACTTCCATTCCACAGGTGACTAAGGGCTGCTTACTCATCATTCCAACTCAGTTGTTAGGCACATTAACACTAACACACCAAAACAGATCAGTGCATTTCTGGATGGCCGGGCACGTTATCCAGTCACTGCTGAGAAGTACTGTTGGTCTGTAAAATACCTACTGTGTGCACACCACAAGTAGAATAAAATCCTGCAATTTTATAAAGGGCAATAGTGATGCTTCCAGCTGGTCTCTGCCTTCAGCTGTTATTCTTGATTTATAATTGTATTAG